TTGGATATCATACTATCACGGTATGTATATCATGCGACGAGTGTATTACAATGTAAAACAGAACGCTATTTTGGAGTGGGGTTCAAGTTCGACACGTATGATTTACGTATATGATTCACAACGATAAGTAGAAATATATTCCTGAATAGAGAAATCTTTATACATTGCAGAAATGGAAGAGTAAAGAAACTGCAAGTTATATAACGTATAGTTCTGCTATTTTCTTTTATGTTTAATATTTTTATATTATGTTACATCGGTGTGCTTATTGTCGAAAAAGTAAAGCCTTAAAGCAATTTCTCTGCACTTGTGATAAAAATGGCCAACTTTATAAAAAAGTAAATCAAAATATATTTTTATAATATCAAGAACAATTTATATTATCAATCAGAAGAACAAACTAATTTATAAAATTTTGAATTTATTTAGTAAGTAATTTATAAAGTTTTGAATTAACTTTAAAAAATAATTTTTAGCGAATCATGAGCGTACTCAAGAGGAATAGGGAGAGGCGATTGCTCTTTTCCACCCAAATGTTAAAACAAGGAAAAGTAATTAAATTATGAAAATTATTTTTACGACAAAAATTAAACGTTCATTAACCAATCTAAGATTATTAAATACAATTATTTAGCTAATATCTAAATAAATTGTGATTTTTCGAAGGACGTTCTATAGTTAAATATTAGATGTTGTAATAAGTTTTGTGCAAAAATAAATATTTGCCCCCCCCCCCCTCACTTCCGACTAAAATTCTGAGTATGTCCGTCGTAGGTATGGTTACGTTTTGTATTAAAAAAAAAAATAATAAGAATAGCAATCCTGTAAACAATATAAGAAGATAGGCGATGTGTCATATATGATCGATTGGTTTATCAAGACAAAAGAGACTCGACGTCTGATGATCGCTATGTCCAATACGTCGATTGAACTTATCGCTGGAAATACCTTCGAGTTGACATTCGGCACTTTTGGCAATGTGAGTAAAGCAATGTCAATGTTTGTTATATCTGTCTGTGAACAGCATGACTTACATGTAGTTTGTACAATCGATAGGTGATTAAAACGTCAGTTAGCTACTTTAACATGCTGCGTGTATTGAGTATATAAAACCTGTTCGATGATGTAAAATTTATTAAAATGACCAATAATTATAAATAAATGCCAATTAGTTATCCGATACATATTCAATAGAAAGGAAGAAAGAAATGTGATTTTAATAAGTAAAAATTTTTGTCGTATTCGCTAAAATACATTTGCAAACAAAGACATAATTTTTGTATATAATGCATTTCTTTGAAATACGCTTAACGCTGTATACATCATTATACGATATAAAATCATGCAAAATGTAGTTGAAAATATTAAAATTTTTTGTTCGTATTATATCATTATATCGTGCTTGTAATCCATAGTTAAACAAACTTTCGTATCAGTAATATCTTCTTCAGTTGTCAAGTAATATATAGTGTACAAATTGTGAAATATTTATATAATATTCTTGCTTTCATGACAATATGCAGTAAAAATTACATGATTTTACCTTATCTGGCTTATAATTTGAACCTTTACCGGTTTCATACATGTGCCATGCGCACACGTTCTTTTGTTGCACATCGTATTTATCCGATAATTTGGCACGTAAAATTTGTTAACCCCTTTCACGTGAACCCCGTCATTATGCGCAGACGTTTTGTACACGCAAGCGCGGTACACACTCGGCTCTCACCGCAGAGAAAGAAAGACCACCCATTATCACATACGTCCAGTCCAGTCATGCTCGAGCTTCTGGTCCGCCCTGACCATCTGTTATTCATAAATCCGAAATGCGAAAACGCTATTAACGGAAATATTCAACGCCCGGGAGAAAGAACGAGACAAGTGCGAAGATCACGTTCAAAGATTCAGTCGCGCGTTAAATTCACTTAAACTTAAATAGAAACAAAAATATAAAATGAAACTAGCCGTAGGAGACTCGTCGAAGACGAGCAGACGCGAGGATGATTACAATTACGCAGTGCAAGTGATTCGCGTTATCATGCGAATGATCGGCGTGTGGCCGATTCCCCGTTACGCTTCCTACGCGGAGAGAATCGCGACACGCTTGCAAAACGTCTTATGCTACTTTCTCTTCGCGTTTATCGTTGTGCCGGGTCTCCTACTGATGTTCCTGAAGGAACGCAACTTCAAACGTAGAGTGCGATTACTCGGGCCGATTCTGAATTGCTGGATGGGTTGTCTCAAGTACACTCTGCTCGTGTACCACGCGAGAGAGATTCTGTCTTGCCTGAAACAGGCGCGACAGGATTGGAGGGAGACGGTCGACTGGAGAGATCGGAAAGTGATGCTGTCCAAGGCAAAAATAGGTCGAAAGTTCGCGATCTTCTCCGCCGTCTTCATGTATGTCGGCGGGCTGTCCTACCGCACCCTTGTGCCGCTCTCGAAGGGACGAATGCTCACGCCGATGAACACTACGGTGAGAGCGCTGTCGTGTCCGAGCTACTTCGTCAAGTTCGACGAACAGGCCTCGCCGGCGTATGAGATCGTCTTCACCCTGCAATTTTTCGCTGGACTGCTCACCTATTCGGTGACGGTCGGCGCGGCCGGACTGGCCGCGTTCTTCATCATGCACGTTTGCGGACAACTGGGCATTTTAATCGGCAAGCTGCAGCACCTTAGTGACATGCCGGAGCCTGAAGATCGAGCTGTCGCGATATTGCTGGCTGATATCGTGGAGCATCAGATAAAAGTGAAAAGGTGAGGTAAAGATAAGCGAGATGGGGTAAATTCTTATGTACACGTAAATAAAACGTATTAGTTTCACGAAACGGGAATAATTATAGAATGAAATTGAAATAATGATGGAATTGAAATGATTTAGTATGTCACTTGAAACTGCGATAATTTCTTTCGGAATGTCAGAATTACCGAAAATAAAACAGAATTCAGTTTAATATTACAAATCTATAATAAATTATAGGTAATTATTATAATTATCATATAACACAAAAGAACATTATTTAATTATTTTAACATTTTAAATATACTGATACAATATAATGCTATTAACATAAGACTGTATAAATATTATGATTATTTAACAGACACATGATTTATTTACAGTTTCCTAAAACAAGTAGAGGAAACTATGAGATACGTGTTATTAGTGGAAATAGTGGGTTGCACTATACTTTTATGCCTTACAGGATACTACGTTATTATGGTAATGATAATTTCCGCGAGGCTTTCATCCATGAATAATAATTCGTTAGTTAAAAATTTCATCTTTGCACAGAAATTAATGCTGAGACAGAATTTGTCAAAAATATTATTTATTTCGAAAATTTTGTTCATTCCAACAGTGTTAATTTTGTAGGAATGGGAAAGTAGCGATGCTACTGCTATGTTAACTATGTCTGTGATACTCACATCTTTCACAATTTCCATTTTTACTAATTGCTATGTCGGTCAACTGTTGACAGATCAGGTAGACAGTCTTAATATTCACATTATTTGCTGTAAAAATTACCTAGCAAAAGTTGCATCGATAGTTTGACGAGTTTTGCTTTCGCAAAATGTAAATGTGTGAACTGATTTAATTACGACAGAGCATTAAAGTTGGATCAATGACATCCACGATGAATTGGCATCGTCTTCCTTACAAAAGAGCCCGTACTTTAATTCTGGTAATGGCAGTTTCCAATATGCCGACGAAAATCTCGGCGGGAAAAATGATAGAAATGTCCCTACCTACGTTCAGTAATGTATGTGTAAAAGCTTATCTCTCATTTTAGCTAACTAGTATTGAATTACATATGTTTTTCGTCACTTCATAGATCGTTAAAACATCGATGGCGTACTTTAATCTGCTCCGGAAATTTATCACATAATTCTGATGGAACTTTTACAATAATACAGTACTCGAATATTAATCTGTAATTGGTACAATTTTTTGAAACGAATGGACAAGCCATGCAACCAATATTTCTCATTTTGATTTTAATCTTTCCCTTTTATTAGGACGTATATTTTGCACATTCATTTAAAATTTAAAATTTTAAGATTTAAGATTAGGTACTACAGGACTCAATCATTGACTTCATTAATAATTAGCGATTTACGACTTATGACAAAAGACAGGCTCGTACTTTTGCTAAAAACTGTCCAATGTAAATTAATCCTATCCTGCAATTATATCTACCGACCGGTAAAAAATTGCGCGCACGCAATCTTTCGTATCAAACTTTTAACTGCGCTACGACAGAATTACCGCGTGATGAAGATACGAAAGCGTGAATAAAACTTGTTCTACAACAGCATAAGCATAGTTGTCGAATATGAGAAGAATATTCGACTGTGTATGTGATTGGTCAATTCTTACAATTACACTTACTATGCTTACGTAATTGTATTATAGAACAGCCCTAATGCAACCTGCTTTCGCCGTATTTATATCCATCACTTGCGATCGTGCGACCCCTGCGCAACAAGTGATTCAGAGAAAATTGATTTTTCCCCTCTTTTCATGTCTATATACATTCATGTCATTACCAAACAAACGAGTTTACGGAATTCCAACTATAAGGACAGTATTATACTATGCAGATTGATCGATATGTGACCAAAACTTAAGGATACACCGGAAATGGACAAGATTTTTGAAAGGATCGCTTTTTATTGATCTCCAACAATATTGTAAGTATTTTATATTATCCTCATCAAAGACATTCCAATATATTTCACGATTACCGGCAACGACTTTGCTCATAATGTATTTAAAGCTCAATTAAATATCTATTTATTAAATACTACATTCAAAAAGACTAAGTCAATTTATTTCTTGGATTATTGTAAAATATATGTTGAATATACATTTTATTAAATATTATTATATGTAGGTAAATTTATATTCATTCCATACAATAAAAATTCATAAATATATCCTTTCGTATATTTTGTATATCAGAGAAATACAATACTTTTTCTTGTTATTTATCAGTCAGTCGTAAATATATATTGTACATGTGTATCTTATACACATCTTATATCTCTTGTACATATCTTTAATGGGACTTCAAACAACTTATAAGCAACTTAACATATTTGGTATTTTTGATTTCGCTTACGTTTAACATAATCATATCTTTTTACATAGATAAATTTTTAACGAAATAGTCCACCCACTATTTTGTCTAATATTGTTTGTATAATAATGTTGCAAATCTACTGAACAATATGTAATATTACAAAACAATTTAAAACATTTTTCAGCAGAAATTTCATAAACTATAAAAAGTACGTAAAAGTTCGTATATGATCAAATAACTTTCGAAGAAAAAAACAACCTTGTCATCGTCTCAATCATCAGATTTATATTGATAAATATACATATAATCAATTTATCAACAGCTTTATGTGACGTAAGTATTATATCGCCATAAGAAAAACAGAATCAAAATTTTATGTCTTATAATATTATTATTTGAATTACAAAAATACAATTTTTCAAAAAAAACAAACACGTAATAAAATTAAAAAATCTGATTCCGATTAATAAGAATCTTACAATTTATTACAAATATTATATTAACGCATTTATTTTTAAAAATGGATTATTAAATTATTTGTCAACTTAAAGATGCAAACCTTCTACATTACAACTTTAGGAAGTATAATTTAAATTATATCAATATTTATCGAACGTAATTCATCTTTGAAATTCTTGATGAAACATATATCATGAAATACAACATAACACATTTCATGCATGCAAAAATATATTAAAATAAAATTTTTATTTTAATCAATAGATATCTTCCAGTTTATTACAGATATATTAACAAAAATATATTAAAATAAAATTTTAATTCTATACATTTTGTAAGTAAATAAGCACTGTAATGGACGTACGTACTTAAATTGTATTTTTCTACGTAATAAATATGGTACAGTATCTCTTTCACCCAAGAAAGGCACACTTCCTATCCGTTTTGCGGAAGATATGTTCTGGCGGAGAATATAAAAATTTACGAACGGATTCGATGTAGTACACATAAGGAAACTTTGAAATCTTTAAAATCCAACAAATTGCAACTGAAAATATTAGAATTTTATGTTCATATTATTGATGTGTTATCACGTTTGTAGTTTAAAATTAAACAAACTTTCATGTAGGCTACAGATTCTTTAGCTATTAGAAAAATGTGTATGTATATCGTAAAACATTTTATTTGTATGACATTCTTACGTAACACACGCAGCATAAATTATCTGACAATGTCTGACTCGTAAGTGTAAATTTAAATAAGATTGTATGCATACTGCATGGCGATTCTTCTCTTTGCTGAATATTGCATTTGAATAATGTCATGCACACAATTCACAATCACTTTTGTGTAATCTTATTATTTCTGTGCACGCAAGCGTATCACACAATTCTGTTTTACAATAAGACCCCTGTCATCACATTTGTCCAGCCATACTCGAATAGTTCAAGTTTCTAATGTTGTCTGATCACCTGTCATTCGTAAACTCGAAATGAAGGAACGTTATTAAAAAAATTAATTATTAGCGTTCGAGCAACACCAAAGTTTAAAAAAAAAATTTTAAAAATTCTCTCCTTATAAATATGAAAATGCAATTCTATTTTATTATAAAATAATTTCTTTAATTTTTGAGAAATATATTGTACGAGAAAATATTTTCTCTCTCCATTTTAAAACGTGTTATAATAACATTTTTATCTCCATGCGACTTATATACAAGTATTACGGAACATATACACGTACGAAAAGAAACTATTGCTCCACTTGTAATATCGTGTAATACCTCACGCACAAGAAAGAAACGCTTGCCACGATCCACCCCGACAAAGTAGCGGAAAATATCTGTTGGAACGGGATTATCCGTTCTATTCATAATTCATGGACAGGCAACGTACAGTATCACACGAGGAAACCTTGACTACTTCACGGAAGTCGAGAATTGCGACTACAAAGTTTACCCTTCGTATCCTGCTTGATCACCCTTTTCTGAGAAGCGAAGTCAGGCGGAATTGCGCAGCCGCATTTGACTTTCCGCGCTCGAGCACTTGCACAACCCTGTCAGTCATCATTGAGTTCTCGTCGCTTCAACAATGTACGGGACAATTACGAGGAAGGGAAATCCAGTCGCGACCGTCTACGATCACGAGAAAGATCTGCAGCTGAGCGTTCAGCTGATCCGTTGGATGTTGGAGGTGGTTGGCGCGTGGCCGAAACCTACCACGATCTCATTGCTAAAGAGATACGCGTACGCGCTGTGGTACGCGATTTGTATCAGTTTGATCAGCTTCCTTATCGTACCCTCCATCATAAGCATGATAGTTGAAATGGAACGTACGTACGCTATGGTAAAACTCGCCGGAGCGCTGAGCTTCATGATTCTGGCTATCGCGAAGTATGTCTCGCTTATCTTCCACGAAAAAGATATTCGCAGTGGTATCGAGCACATTCGGAGTGACTGGATGAACACTCGGTATTACGGCGATCGGATCATCATGATTAAAAGCGCGAAATTCGGCCGGCACCTCGTGACACTCTGTGCCGGCTTCATGTACGGCGGTGCCGCTTTCTTCTATCTCGCCGTGCCGTACAGTATTGGCAAAGTTACAGAAGACGACGGAAACCTGACGTATTGGCCGATGAGGTATCCAGTCGCCACGATGATCATCGACGTGCGATACAGTCCCACCAATGAGATTTTCTTTTGGGTGCAGTGCCTGTCGGGCTTCCTCGCGCATTCCATCACTGCCACTGGATGCAGCATAGCCGCCGTATTCGCGATGCACGTCTACGGCCGTATGGAAATCCTAACACAGTGGATCGAGCACTTGATAGACGGCCGGGAAGATTTATGCGATGATATGAATGAGAGATTGGCGATGATCGTGCAGCAGCACGTTCAAATCTTACAGTAAGTCAATTTACGAGTACCATTAGTGCTCCTTGCATTTAACATACGCCTCTATATGGCGCTTCAATTTATTTCTATTTATTTCCTGTTTTCAATTTATTCTTAATTGTTTAAAAACATTTAATGAAATCGTACTTTTCCTGTAAAATATCACTTACGCGATAACGTATCCGTTATTATCTTCCAGTTTTATATCGCTGACGGATAAAGTACTGCGTGAAATATCTATCATAGAAGTTATACAATGTACAGTAACCATATGTCTCGTTGGACATGCTGCCATCGTGGTATGCATATCGTAGAAAAAATATATTATCTATGATATAAAACATCTATTTATTTTGAAAGAATGCTGGAGATTTACAAGTAGAAATATATATTGCCGAAAAATCTTTATGCGTTGCAGGAATGGGAAAGTAAAAATCCTACAAGTTACATAACGTATATCGTTCTGACTCTTTCTTTTACTTTTAACATCTTTATATTATGTTACGTCGGCGAGCTTGTTACTGAAAAGGTAAAGCCCTACTATCGAGCAGTTCTGATTCTCTACACTTCTGATAAAAAAGGCAAATTTTACAAACAAATACATCTTCACGATATATTTCCACATTAGCAAGAGAAATTAATATCATAAAAATAATAATGAAATTTATAAATTTTGAATTTATTTTAAAAAGTAATTCTATTAGCGGCGTAAATGTAGTTATGTTTTATATAGAAAAATAAGAAAAGCAATCCTGTAAACAGTATAAGAAGATCGGCGAGGTGTCATACACGATCGACTGGTATCGTTATCAGGAAAAAAGAGCCTCGATGTCGTGTTGATGATCTGTATGTCCAATACGTCCATCAAACTTACCGCCGGAAATATGTTCGAGTTAACTTTCAGCACTTTCGGTGACGTGAGTAAGCATTGTCAATGTTTATCATATCTGTCTATGAATGACTTATACATTGTTCATATAATTTATTAGGTGATTAAAACATCGGTTGCCTATTTTAATCTGATGTGTACAGTAGCGTAAAACTTATCCGCAAATATAAAAATTAATAATGCAACCGTTAAGGTTGTAAGTATATGTCAATTAGTTGTCTGATATTAAGAAAAAAGAGAGAAATGGTTTTGAGAAATAGATGACATATTTATGAAAATATTTAATAAAAAAGAGAGTTCAATATACCTTTCGCATATTTCCCTCTAGAATATTTTTGATACATCATTGCACGCATAAAAAATCAAGCGAAATGCAATCTGAAATTATGCACATTTACTTACAAGGGCAATTTTCGTACTCATTTCTTAATGAAAAAGAATTTCTTGTATTCATAGGTGCACACATGTGAAAGCAAGAAATTTTTAATAATCAGTGAATAATTACTAAAAAATAATAATTAATAATTGACCAAGAAATATTCTACGAATATTGTTGAAAGATTGAAAAATATAAAATGTCAAGCATGTACAACACTAGCATCTCGTTCCACGCGGATTATTTTCCCATCGTGCAACCACCTGCAAGTAGTGATGTAGGGTATACAATAACTACACATTAATCACTCGCACGCGTATCGATTGCTGACACTCCTTGACCGCTCGGAAAATCGGAAACTCCTTCTCTTAAGCCAACAATATTCCTCCGAACAAACGGGAGTTATAGAAAAACGCATAAGCGCTGAGAACGACCTGTTGTCCACCACGTCGCGATATTGTCGCTTAATATAATACATGCGGGCATTCAAATCACCATAATGTTGCATTCCTTTCGCGTGTCCTCCACGCACATCGCGCATCAGCGAGACAGCAAGTACAATATTTAGCTGAATCGCTGATTCCTGAAACCGATGCCTGGCCCGGGTCCGACACCGGCGGCGCGGCGGCGGCACCGCGGGTCGGGTGCTGTCACGCGGCATTCAGTTTGTCTGCCACTCTCTGATCGCGTTCACGGTAGTGCCGTGCGCGTTGTACATCATATTCGAGCCGGACGTGCACCTGAAGCTGAAGGCCTTCGGCCTGATGATACACTGGCTGATGAGCGACGCGAACTACTGCTCGTTGCTGGCGCGTAGTTGCAAGATAGGCGAGTGCGTGGACCACATGCGCGCCGATTGAAGGTACGTGGGGACGACGCGCGATCGCGAGGTGATGCTGCAAAACGCCGAGTTCGGCCGATTTGAGTCCGCCTTCTGCGCGGTCTTCATGCAGGGCGGCGTCTGCTCCTACAGCATCATCATCATCCTGACATCGGCAACCGTGCGAATCGGAAACGCCACGTTGACGACGCACCAGCTACCATGTCCGTTCTACACGGAGCTGGTGGACACCAGGTATAGTCCGGCGAACGAGATCGTGATCGTCCTTTAGCTGCTGTCGACCGTCATAATGAACTCCGTCACGATGGGCGCGTGCAGTCTCGCCACAGTCTTCGCCATGCACGCCAGCTGAGCATTCTGATGATGAGACTGGACGAACTCGTCGAGGCAAAAAGCGAACAAACGAAGTCACGCGGCGAAAATTGGCCACCATCGTGGAGCATCATCTTCGTGTACTTAGGTAATGGGTACTCAGGTAAAAATGTATTTAATGTTTGATTTATATTTCCATTATTTATAAAACTCGAATGAGCAAAATAAGACTGTAATATTTAAATATTCGATTCGGCGACTCGTTAAAAATAATATTGTTTTTAGTAATTAACTGGCTGTGTCGTTAGCGGCCTCTTTTGAAAAATTTTTACACTTAAATTTCTCTATTGTAAAGAAGTTACAGATCACGAGAAATAATATTATTTAGTAACTTTAATAATTATTAGTTACTAAAAAAAAGTTTTAATTTCAATTTCGTATCGTATATAGAAACGGTTATGCATTAAATTTGTCTCGTCGAGTTGTTGAGATGCACTACTGATATATGCATGGATATTATACGATCACAGTATGCTAATTTTATATCAGAGTCGTAACGACTGTGAAATAAAAATGTTGTGCATATTATGTTGCAATTCGTGATACACTTTTTAATAAATAAATAATGAAATAATTCTAGGCAGACATTATTCTCAATGTTTTACTTGTATTCGTATATATTTATAGGAATGGAAATTGCATATCAAAAATTTACTCACGTACTTGACATGGCTATATTTATATAGCCATGTCATGCAACATTTTCATATTTTGTTACATTACTGAAATCCTCAGGGACCAGATAGTTACATCATATATATATATATACACACACACACAACATATATCTTTCTCTTTAGTTATAAAAATACAAAATGATAATCTGAAATTATAACGTAAACATATTGATCAACTCAAGAGTTTATATAGTGTCGAAAAATAGGCAAAATGGCATACATGACAGAGTGATACCGATTATATCATAAAATTGCACTCGACTTGATTCTAATAATCTCTAATAATCGTCTATTCGTACTTACATCCATCACTTATGATCGTGCGATCCTTGCGCAACAAGTGATTAAGAGAAAAAACCGGTTTTTCCCTCTTTTCATATCTATATATGATACATACATGTTGTTATTAAATAAACGAGTTTACGGAATTCCAACTATAAAGATACCATTAAGTATATTATGCAGATGCACATTGATCGATATGAGACCGAAACTTAGGGATACTTCGGAAATGGGTAAAATTTTTGAAAAAATTCCACACAATCAATTTTTATTGATTTTCAACAAATACTGTAAGTATTTTATATTATTGTTATCAAAAACATTCAAAAATGTTTCACAATGACCGGCAATGACTTTGCTTGTAGTATATTTTGAGATCAATTAAATATCTGTTTATTAAATATTACATTCAGAAAGACTAAGTGAATTTATTTCTTAAATTATTATAAGATACTTTAAATATATGTTTAAGTATATGTTTTGTTAAATGTTATATGATGGTAAACTTACATTCATTCCATACAATAAAAATTCACGTATCCTTTCGTATATTTTCTAAATATCAGAGGAATATAATATTTTTTGTTGTTATTTATCAATTAGTCATAAATATATATTATATATGTATATCTTATATCTCTTGTATATCTCCGTAAGATAAGATTGTAAACAATCTGTAAGCAGCTTAATATATTTGATGTTTTTTATTTCGCTTCTGTTCTTTTTACATAGATAAACTTTTAACGAAATAGTCTACTATTTTCTATAATAATGCTACAAATCTATTGAACAATATGTAATATTACAAGACAATTTAAAACAATTTTCAGCAACAATTTCCTGACAAACTATAAAAGTACGTGAGAGCTCATACATGATTGATTGGCTTTCGAAAAAAGCCTTGCCATCGTTCACAATCATCAGATTTATATTACTGAATATACACACAATCAATTTATCAGCAGCTTCATGTGAGTAAGTATTATATTGCCATAAGAAAAACATAGAATCAGAATTTTATATCCCATGAGATTATTATTTGAATTGCGAAAATGCAATTTTTCAAGAAAACAAACATGTAATAAAATAAAAAAATGATTCCGATTAATAGATATCTTACAATTTATCACAGATATTACATAAACGGATATATTTAAAAAAATTGATTATTCAATTATTTATCGATTTAAATGTGCAAAAGTTTTTACATTACAATTTGAGGAAATACAATTTAAATTATAGCAATATTTATCGATTGTAATTCATCCTTGAAATTCTTGATGAAACATATATCATAAAATATAACAAAACACATTTCATGCATGCAAAAATATAGTGAAATAAATTTCAATAGATATTATCCAGTTTATCACATATCTTAATTAACAAAAATATATTGAATTAAAATTTTTATTCAACATACTTCGTATATAAACACTGTATAATATACGTGCATACGTACGGAAAATTGTATTTTTCCACGTATAATGATACAATATTTCACCCAAGAAAGACACACTTCCGATCCGGTTCAATAAATCGCGAAAGATATTCTTGCAAAGAATATAAACGGCTTTGTTCATAATTCACGAGCGGACTTCAGTAGTACATATGAGGAATTCCTGAACCCTTTAAAATCCAGCAAATTGCAAGTGAAAATATTAGAATTTTATGTTCAAATTATTGTTGAACGTTATCACATTTGTAGTTTACAATTTTAAAAACTTTCATGTCAACGACAGATTCTTTAGCTGTTAGTGTTTAAAACGGCATACTAAATTGCATTTTTATAATCTAATCTAATTAAAATTCTAAAAGGAATAATTCTAAATCGCAAGTAAAACAAACACATCCGTTACGTATCTCATCTCGGAACGTTCTCTAAGGCACACAATAAACATGTCACGACCGACAAAACAAACGATCACGTCGTTAGCTTTGTCTAAATTGCTAAATAAAGTCAATTGTCGGTCGATTATAACTGCCACATTTGTTCGAGAAACTTCCGAGACAAACGTTAAAAGCAGCGAACGTGCAGTTCGCATACGATCGTTTGGCTTAATACTTTTTAACTTTGGCGTTAGACACTTGTTCATTTTTTCTGAACGCGGTCCTAAAACTATTTCGCGCACTCATGCGATTTATAGGAACAGGTGTGTTCCAGAAAAGATTTTGTTAAATAGATCATCTATAAATAGTTGTACATAAATTAGTGTCGTGATAAATAAAAAGTCTGTGTGTTAAACTGTTTAATTAAAAATTGAAGAAATACATTTAATACAACCTCTAACCGTTCCTCATAAACTCTCTCGCGACAAATCATTAGCTCGTGCTTAAACAGTTAGAAAAATGTATGTATATTGTAAATATTTTATTTATATGACATCCTTACGTAGCATCATGCAGCACAAATTATTTCACAATTTCTGACTCATAAGTGAAAATAAGATCGTACGCATAGTGCACGGCGATCCTTCTCTTTGCCGAACGTTGCATTTGGACATTGTCACGCATAAAATCCCCGATCACTTTTGTGTAACCTTGTTATTTCTGTGCACGCAAGCGTCACATAATTCTGTTTTTACAATAAGAGAGATTCCTGTCATCACATTTGTTCAGTCATGCTCGAGTAGTTCAAGTTTCTAATGTTGTCTGACCAACTGTCATTCGTAAATTCGAAATGAGAAAACGTTCTTGCAAGAATTAATTATTAGCGTTCGAACAACACCAAAGTTCCAAAAAATTAATTTAAAAAATTCTGTTCTGATAATATTAAAATGCAATTCTATTTTATTATAAAATTATTTCTTTAACTTTTGAGAAATATTCTGTACGAAAAAAGATTTTTTCTACATTTAAAAATAGGTTGGAATAATATTTTTATCTCTATGCGACTTATATACAAGCATTGCGAAATATATACACGTACGCGGAAAACCATTCCTCTACTTGTAATATCGTGTAATACCTCACGCACAAGAAAAAAACCGCTTGCGTCGATCCACTCCGATAAAGTAGCGGAAAATATCTGCGGGAACAGGATTATCCGTTCCATTCATAATTCATGGACAGACAGCGTGCAGTATCACATGAAGAAACCTTGACCACTTCACGGAAATCGAGAATTGCGACTACAAAGTTTACCCTTCGTATCCTGCTTGATCACCCTTTTCTGAGAAGCAAAGTCAAGCGGAATTGCGCAGCCGCATTTGATTTTCCGCGATCGAGCAGTCGTACAACCCTGTCAGTCACCACCGAGTTCTCGTTGCTTCAACAATGTATGGGACATTTACGAAGAAGGGAAATCCAGTCGCGACTGTCTACGATCATGAGAAAGACTTGCAGCTGAGCGTTCAGCTGATTCGTTGGATGTTGGAGATGATTGGCGCGTGGCCGAAACCTACCGCAATCTCGTCGCTAAAGAGATATCCGTACGCGCTGTGGCACGTGATTTGTATCAGTTTGATCAGCTTCCTTATCGTACCTTCCGTCATGAGCATGATGCTTGAAATGGAACGTACATACGTTATGGTAAAACTCTGCGGAGCGCTGAGTTTCATGGTACTGGCTATTGTGAAGTATATCTCGCTTATCTTCCACGAAAAAGACATTCGCAGTGGTATCAAGCACATTCAGAGTGACTGGATTAACACTCGGCATTACGGCGATCGGATTATCATGATTAAAAGCGCGAAATTCGGCCGGCACCTTGTGACAATCTGTGCCGGTTTAATGTACGGCAGTGCCGTTTTCTTCTATCTCGCCGTGCCATATAGTGTTGGCAAAGTTACAGAAGACGACGGAAACCTGACGTACTGGCCGATGAGGTATCCAGTCGCCAAGATGATCATCGACGTGCGATACAGTCCCACCAATGAGATTTTCTTTTGGGTGCAGTGTCTGTCGGGCTTCCTCGCGCACTCCATCACTGCCACTGGTTGCAGCATAGCCGCCGTATTCGCGATGCACGTATACGGTCGTATGGAGATCCTAATACAGTGGATCGAGCACTTGATAGATGGCCGGGAAGATTTATGTGATAATATGAATGAGAGATTGTCGATAATCGTGCAGCAGCACGTTCGAATTTTACAGTAAGTCAGTTTACGACGAGCACCATAAATAGTCCCTTGCATTTAACTTACATGCGTCGCTATACAGCGCTGCAATTTATTTTTAATTATTTAAAAACATTCAAAAATCATACTTTTTCGTAAAATATTACTTACGTGATAACGTATCGATTATTATCTTTCAGTTTTATATCACTGACGGATAAAGTACTGCGTGAAATATCCATCATAGAAGTTGTTCAATGTACAGGAACCATGTGTCTCGTTGGACATCACGCCATCGTGGTATGCATATCGTAGAAAAAATATATTATGTATGTCGTAAAACATCTATAGCTATTTCGGAAGAATGTTGAAGGTTTACAACGTAGAAATATATATTGCCGAATTTAAAAATCTTTATGCGTTGCAGGAATGGGAAAGTAAAAATCCTACAAGTTACATAACGTATATCGTTCTGACTCTTTCTTTTATTTTTAATATCTTTATATTATGTTACATCGGTGAGCTTGTTGCCGAAAAGGTAAAGCCCTACACTCGAGCATTTCCTCTACACTTCCGATAATAATGGCAAACTTTACAAATAAATATATTTTCGCAATAACAAGAAAAATTAATCATAAAGGTAGTAGCAATAAAATTTATAAAATTTTAAATTTCTTTTAGAAAGTAATTCTTAGCGGCGTAAGTGTAGTTATGTTTTGTATAGAAAAGTAAGAAAAGCAATCCTGTAAACAGTATAAGAAGATCGGCGAGGTGTCATATACGATCGACTGGTATCGTTTACCAGGAAGAAAGAGCCTCGACGTCGTGTTGATGATCTCTATGTCCAATACGTCGATCAAACTTACCGCCGGAAATATCTTCGAGTTGAATTTCAGCACTTTCAGCGACGTGAGTAAACTATGTCAATATGTTAGCTATGTATTGTTTATCATATCTGTCTGTGAATAGCGTGATCTATACGTCGTTCGTACAATTGATAGGTGATTAAAACGTCGGTCGCCTACTTTAACCTGCTGCGTACAGTAACGTAAACTTATTTAACATAAACTCCATAAATGTGAAAATTAATAATGCAACTGCCGCTGATGTTGCAAATAAATGTCAATTGTCTATTAAGAAAAAAAGATAAATGGTTTTGAGAAATAGATAACATGCATATTAAAATATTTAATTAAAAAAAAGAGTTCAGGCTGTTATTCTGAATGGGAATCCCGTCCGATTTGGCTGAGACTTTTCAGGTGATACTAAAAGTATAAGTTCTAAAAAGATTATCAAAGAGCCATACGCAAGTTTAAAGTGTCATTTTATATGTATATATGAAGTTATTTTAAATCATAATTTTCTCTGTTTTTATTTTTATCTTTTAAATTATACAAAAGCCAAAAATAAAACCTTCATAAAAAATGATTATATGTCGGAACATATTACTTGGAAAATTTCAGCTCAATCAAACGGGATCCCCATTCAGAACAACGCACGGAGTTCAATATACCTTTCATAAATTTTCCTCTAGAATATCTTTTGGCATTGCACATATCATTAAATGTTAAAATGCGAAATACAGTCAGAAATAATGCATATTTACTTACAAAGGCAATTTTCGCAAGCATATCTTGATGAAGAAGAATTTCTTGGAGATGCACATATGTATAAGCAAGAAATTTTTAATGACCAAGAAATAATTCTATACGAAATTGTTAAAAGATTGAAAAATATAAAATGTCAACGTATGTACAGCACTTGCATTTCATTCCACGCGGATTATTTTCCCATCATGCAACCAAGTAGCGGCGCAGGGTATACAATAACTACAACAATCAACACACGTAACTCGCACACGTATCGATCGCTGCCACCCCTTGACCGCCCGGAAAATCTGAAACTCCTCTTAAGCTACTTAAAAAAAACGAGAGTTAGAAAAACGCGCAAGCGCTGAGAACGACCTGATGTTCTTCACCACGTCGCGACATTGTCGCTCAATAACACGCGGGCATTCGAGTCACCATCATGTCGCATTCCTTTCGCGTGTCCTCCACGCGCAACATCGCGCACCTACGGGACAGTGAGTATAGTATTCAGCTGAATCGCTGGTTCCTGAAACCGATCGGTGCCTGGCCCGGATCCGACACCGGCGGCGGCAGCATCGCGGGCCGGATGCTGTCACGCGGCATCCAATTCGTCTGCCATTCACTGATCGCGTTCACGGTGGTGCCGTGCGCGTTGTACATCATATTCGAGCCGGACGTGCACCTGAAGCTGAAGGCCTTCGGCCCGATGATACACTGGCTGATGGGCGGCGCGAACTACTGCTCGTTGCTGGCGCGTAGCTGCAAGATACGCGAGTGCGTGGACCACATGCGCGCCGATTGGCGGTACGTGGGGACGACGCGCGATCGCGAGGTGATGCTGCAAAACGCCAAGTTCGGCCGATTCGTGTCAGCCTTCTGCGCGGTCTTCATGCAGGGCGGCGTCTGCTCCTACAGCATCATCACCACCCTGACACCGGCGACCGTGCGAGTCGGAAACGCCACGTTGACGACGCATCAGCTACCATGTCCGTTCTACACGGAGCTGGTGGACACCAGGTATAGTCCGGCGAACGAGATCGTGATCGTCCTTCAGCTGCTGTCGACCGTCATAGTGAACTCCGTCACGGTGGGCGCGTGCAGCCTCGCCGCGGTCTTCGCCATGCACGCGTGCGGCCAGCTGAACATTCTGATGATGAGACTGGACGAACTCGTCGAGGCAAAAAGCGAACACGAAGTCACACGGAGAAAATTGGCCACCATCGTGGAGCATCATCTTCGTGTACTCAGGTAATGTTTTTTATGTTACAGATCTTAAAAATGTATATAATATAATATAATCTGTAATAATGTATAAAATATAATATAATCTTTGATTTATACATATATTTCCATGATCTATGAAACTCAAATGAGAAGACTAAAATTAATATTTAAATAGTCGACTCAGCGACTCGACTTACAAATAATATCCTTCTAATTTTTATTATTTAACTGGCTTTACAGTTAGCGACTTTTTTCGAAAATCTTTAAATTTTTCTATGGTAAAAAAGTTACAAGAAATAATATTATTTAGTAATATAATTATTATATTATTAAAATACTTTTAATTTCAGTTTTGTATCGCAAATAGAAACGGTTATGCATCAAATATGTCTCGTCGAGTTGTTGGGGTGCACTACTGATTTATGCATGCTCGGATATTATACGATCACGGTATGCTAATTTTATATCAGAGTCGTAACTGTAAAATAAAAATTTTGTATATTATGTTGCAATTTGTATTATACTTTTTAACAAATCAATAATGAAATCATTCTATGCAGACATTATTCTCAATGTTTTACTTGTATATTCGTATATATTTATAGGAATGGAAATTGCATGATACAAAAAATTTGCTCACGTACTTCACTATATTTATAGCCATGTCATGCAACATTTTCATATTTTGTTATATTGCTGAAATTCTCACGGATCAGGTAGTTACATCGTGTATACATATATATGTATATATATATAGATATATATACATATATATATATGTATATATATATTTCTCTTTAATTATAATATAATAATTTAAAATTATAACGTAAAAATATTGATCAAATCAAGAGTTTGTATAGTGTCGAAAAATAGGCGAAATAGCATACATGACGGAGTGGTACCGATTACATCATAAAATTGCGCTCGACTTGATTCTAATAATCTCGAGATCAAACGCCGTTATCAAGATAACCGCCGGCAAAATGGTTCAGCTATCCATTTCGACTTTTGGAGATGTAAGTTTTCCGATCCGAAAACAATTATATCAATATTTTTCTATATAAGTAACAAAATTTCAATGTAGGCTTACCTCTGTAGGCTTTCATAAATTCTTTGTTAAAATCTTGTTACTTTTATTTTTAACCATCTCTCTCTTAATGGCTATTATACATATAGTAATATTTATATTGCTCACAATTTTTTTATCACTACGATACATGTCGATCTAAAAAGATTTACAAAGTAATTAGAGTATTAGAGAGTAAAAAATACGCAAAGATCATTTGAAATAAACCTGTCAACTATAATTATTTCAGGTGATGAAAACATCGTTTGCATATTTAAATATACTCAGAACGGTTGCGACATAACAAAAACTAGATATATATGGTATTAAACTTGCGGATAACAAATAAACTGTAAATTTATTCAATTTATTATAATCAATGTAGTAATATAGCTGATTTTTGTCATATTAATAAGCTCTTCTTTCACTTCTCAATGATGCCACTGTTTAATATATCCCGATTTATATTTTATCTTATTAATAACGATTATTGCACTTCGACATATGTAACATACAAGCAATAACTTCTGGATAAAGCGTTATATAAAGAACAACAAACGCAATTTCGTCTAATATAATTAACACTAAAAATACTACTTGTAAAACTGTGAATTTGATTACATTCGTCGACCGAACTACTCCGCGAATTGTGTTCAGACGTTCTCGTACAGCACACCGTGATTTCGTGCAACAAGTAGCTATAAGTTATCGATTATGTTCCGTCTCAGCCGGACGGTGCAATAATTTTTTCTCTCTCCTCGCACGTCCGCGCAGGCGCCCTTCGACGTGACCGCTGCTTCGTTCGAGAAACCGAGGTCCAAGTCGTCAGTAGTAGTGATCAGTACCTGGCGCGCCTTCCGTGAATCGACTATGAAGCAGCGTGCTGGTAGCGAGAATTCAGTCGCGGATTACAGGCGAGACAATGATTACAGTTTGCAGTTAAATCGCTGGATTCTGGGCTCGATAGGCGCTTGGCCGGAATTACAGACGAATTCGATGATGAAGAACGTCCTGATGAATATCTTGCGATTAGCGTGTCATTCCTTAATAGCTTTTACCATAATATCTTCTGTATTATATATAATCTTTGAAGAAAAGGACTTTCGCTTGAGGCTCAAGGCCATTGGGCCTACGAGCCACATTCTCATGGGCGGAGTCAATTACTGCTCGCTCCTGCATCACAACGCGCGGATACGCATGTTCGTGGAGCACATGGAGACCGACTGGCGGATGGCAAAGAGAGAGCACGATCGGGAGGTGATGCTGCGTAACGCAAGAGTGGGACGCGTCATAGCGGGCGTTTGCGCGCTCATCATGCAGGGCGGCGTGATATGTTACAACATAGCGCGGGGAATGTCGCGGATAACCGTGGTGATCGGCAACGAGACGATCGAGACGGGCCGCCTGCCGTGTCCGTCGTTCAACATGATCGTGGACACCAGGCTCAGCCCGGTGTACGAGATCGTGCTCGCGTTGCAGTGCCTCTCGACCATCGTCGTCAACAACATCACGATCGGCGCGTGCGGCCTCGCCGCCGTTTTCGCGATGCACGCCTCCGGCCAGCTCAACGTAGTGATGCTACGTCTCGAGGAACTCGTCACCGAGCGGCAGGAACTCCTCCAGTCGAGACTGGCGAACATTGTGGAGCATCATCTGCGAGCGTTGAAGTAAGGCGCGAATCTTGAAAGATTACGCACAGGTCAATTTTAGTTATTTACGAGAGAAATGAAATACGATTGTGTACATCCTTAATGAACTTTTGCTGGCCTTTAAATTAATCACGTTTAAAACTATGTCTCGTAAAATTGTAATTTTTGTTATAAAGAAAGTAAAGAGTGCCAGGAAACGTGTGTAAAGATTATTTTATAATGCTTTTTTCTAAATATGGCATATTTGCAGAATTGCAACTATCGCGGCTGTAAGATATTCGGATAAAAATATTGAGTGTCTTTAAACGTCGCGGCTATTGCTGGATGTGTCGATTGCAGGTTTCTTTCGCATTTGGAGGAAATTATGCGTGAGATATGTTTTGTGGAATTAGTCGGGTGTACATTCAACTTGTGTATGCTAGGATATTACACCATTACGGTACGCTTAAAATTTAAGAAAGGTGAATATGTGTAATAGATCGCCTATCGTTACTTCTAATTTCGATTTTAAACGCTCATCACTTTGTGTATTCTTCTAGGAATGGCAGGAAGAGAGCATAAATACTATAATAACATACGTCATGGTACTAACAGCGATGATGTTTAATATCTTTATATTTTGCTTCATTGGCGAACTCGTAACGGATCAGGTAAAGTAATTTTCTTCCATTTCGTAAGTTTTTCTCATGTTTGTCTACAATAAAAATAATATTCATGCTTGGATTGACTTGGATTTAATTTCGTAATAGTGTAAAAAAGTTGGTGAAGTAGCTTATATGACAAAGTGGTATGAATTGCCGCATAAAACCGTTCTTGGTCTCATTTTAATAATCGTGCGATCAAGAATTGTTATCAAAATCACGGCTGGAAAAATATTTCATATGTCTATTCAAACTTTCGGTGTTGTAAGTATTACAAAAATTATTGAATATGACCTAGAAATAAAATAAATTTAGTGTATTATCTATTGCTGAAAATACATAAAAACCAAGATCAATTACATGAGTCAAAAGCACTTCTGGCTAAAAAATATTCGAAGCTTATTAAATAAAAAGAACATAATAAGAAACTAATATAGGCACAGTACTAATTTTTAATATATACGCAATATATATATATGAAATTTTAAAAAATGGGTTATAATGACAATGGAGACTAATCTAAACAAAAAGAAAAGTTGAGTGTTTATTTAAAAACTGAAAAAAATTAAAATATTTTATAAACATTAAATTTGTATCAATATTTTTCGAGTATAATAAAAATTTTTGTGATAGAATATTGACATTGATATCTTTAACATGTACTTTTTCAAATTTTTAAAATTGTTTCATATAATTAAAAAAATATTCTATAAAATATGCTATAAAAATGTATTAAGTAACATAATGTTTAAAATGATATTTTTTAAATCTTATCAAATTTTTACAATTGGTATTTTATAATTTCTTCAGTTAGTCTCTTTACTGTCTTTATAACTGTCAGTGCCTATATTAATTTCTTTTTTTATTGTATCTTTTTCATTTATGTATTAAATTTCGAATTTTTTTCGGTCACCCCCAGAGACACTTCAGTCATTAATTATTGCCTTATATCATTAATCATGTATTTAACGGCTTATTAAAATGTAAATTAATTATTAAATTAATTATTAAATTATTAAACATTCTAGGTAATTAAAACGTCTGTCGCATACTTAAATATGCTTCGAACTTTGACTATGTAAATACTGTATGATAAAATACGAGTATTTGTAATATTCTCTATATAGACATTAATTATAGATTATAAAATATATAAAATTTCTCGTAAATATAAATTGTTTTACACATAAATCCAATTCACACGTGGATGTTTGTTTAGTATGTATAGTAATATATATATATCTAGGATGTTCCTGGGTTAAACCGCCAAATATTAATTTAAATATGAATTTATGACTTCAAAATAAATTTTTCTCTAGAAGTTTGCACGCAAATGTTTCGTTTAAGAGATACTGATTTCTTAAGTTACAGAACTGAAGGAATGAATATTATTGTCGATATTGTCGAAATAATGTATATAGATTTATCCTCTTTATTGCTTTATAACACTCAAAATATAAATATTAAATGTATTGTTTAAAATGATAATCTCCAGACAAAAAAATGTAATTATTAAATGGATTGTTTAAAATAATAATCTGAGACAAGCACCTATCGACGAAAGAACAAATGGCTGATTGACATGCGTTTATAATTTCTTCGCGCGCTTGCATAATCTTTTGTTTTAAAGTCATTAATGAGCTTCATACACTTCATTTTACTTTTTGCTTCAGAGCACCCCAAACAAAAATATTTTGACACATAAAACATATATTCGTATATAAATATATATTATATATATATATATATATATATATATATATGTGTGTACTATACATACGAAATACACGGTCGATCTCAGATAGCCGAAGAATCGAATAATTTCGGTCTGCAAACTTTCAGTGCGAAAGCTTTCGATTATTGCCACTTTTTGGTTATACTCCGCACTCGATCTTATCTGCTCCAACATTTTTAAATTATGCACATTTATTACAAACATGCCCAAACTAACTTGGGCATGTTTGTAATGTCTAACTTGCCCAAACATCAATAACGACCTACCAATGAAGTCAAATGAGACGGGAACTTCTAATTTAAATTTGTCCGGATTTTGGTGGTGGACCCTGTATATATATTTATATACAAATTTATATATATGCAATAATTCGTAATACCTCGAAGAAGAATAAAAAAGAAATAGAATGAAATCGCGATTGCTATCGCGGAAGATATCTGTAGAAGGATATAAGCCTTACGCACGTAAATTCACGAGACAGTGACCAATATATCACAGAAGGAAGAGAAGGAAGTGAATCCCCTCTTACTTGTCGTCAATACGACTATAACATGCACCCTCCAACACATATCCTGCGCGTACGATTCCTTTCCTTGTATCGCAACTGTTCTTGTCCGCTCGCAAAGCAACTGTGCGGAAAGTGTAGTATAATTAATGCAACGCAACAGCGTATACGCTTCGATAGTAAGAGAGTTGAATGCTCACTCATCATTTTACAAAGGTCAATACGGCTATAAAATGCACCCTCCGACATCCTGATATACGCGCGATTTATTTCCTTTTCCTGGAAGGGATGTCATACCGCGAACGGCGCAGCCGCACTTGGTTTTCCGTATCCGAGTTCTCGCGTGAGTCCCTCTCAGTACCTGTCGAGTTGTCGCGCTTCAACAATGTCTAGAAACTCCGCACAGAACTCGAGCACCGTCGCGACTGTCCATGATCACGAGAAAAGCGTGCAGTTGAGCTTGCGGCTGAATCGCTGGATACTGAAGCCGATCGGCGCGTGGCCGAAATCGGCTGATCTCTCGTGGATAGAGAAATTCATGTACTTTCTGGTAAACGTAATCTGTATCAGTCTGATCGGCTTCCTCTTCGTGCCCTGCACCGTCCACATGGTGTTTGAAGTCGACGACGCGTACACCATATTGAAGATCCTGGGGCATCTGGCCTTCTGCCTGATGGCCTTCGTGAAGTACGTCTCGATGATTTGGCGCGAGAACGACATTCATATGGGCATCAAGCAAATCGAGGACGACTGGACGACCACCCGGCATTACAGCGATCGGGCCATCATGATCGACAACGCGAAGTTCGGCCGCCGCTTCGTGATGATCAGCGCGACCTTCCATTACGGCAACGCCGTGTTCTATTACCTCGTACTGCCGATTATGAACAAGATCACGGAGGACAATGGGAACCTGACGTATCGGCCACTGGTGTTTCCGGTCGCCCGGATGATCGTCGACGTGCGATACAGCCCCGCCAACGAGATCTTCTTCTGGGGGCAGTTGATGTCGGGTCTAGTCGCGCATGCCGTCACGGCCGGCGCTTGCAGCTTGGCCGCTATGCTCGCGATGCACGCTTACGGTCGCCTGAAAGTTCTAGCGCATTGGATCGAGCATCTGGTGGACGGACGAGACGACTTTTGCGTTAGCATAGACAAAAGGTTGATAATGATTGTGCAGCAGCACATTCGGATCTTACGGTGAGTTACTATTTAATGAAAATTTTCGATGCACGAAAAGAACACTTTTGCTGGATCCAGATCTGAAAATAATTTTTGTTCAGTAATCAAAATAATTTTGTTAGAAAGTCACAATGATTGCCAGAATATTAAAACTTTTTTTTTTTTTATAGTAATGCTTATAATTTATAACTTTCCAACAAATTATTTTGATGATTGAATTTTCAGATCTGTATTTAGCAACATTTTTAGATCTTTCAACAAAATCGCTCTTTCTGTGTGCTATTCGATATATTCAATGTTTTAATAAATTGATTATATAAAATGTACAGTTAAAGAGATCGCATTTTTTTTTCCGTTTAATATTTCTTACGCTAACGTGAGCTGTCTGCTGTCTTTTAGTTTCATATCGCATACGGACAGGATCTTGCGCGAAATAGCTTTCGTGGAAATTGCAGGATGTACGTTAAACATTTGTTTGCTTGGATATTATGCTCTGACGGTACGCATATCGTGTAACAAGTACGTGTCGCAAAATGTATCTCTTGTTTTTCGAGTAAAATTAGAGATTGTTGCAGTGCAGTTGCAAAATATTCAGCAATATGCATAACGTGTTTTCAAATGTAGAAATCTTTTCGTTACAGGAATGGGAGAATAAAAATAACGTTGTAATATACATCCTCTTAATGCTGGCTCTTAAATTCAATGTCTTCATATTTTGTTACATCGGCGAGCTCGTTACTAACCAGGTATTGTCCTCAAACTTTCAATGTATCTCCGTGCTTTCGACGTTAAATCTTACAAATGAAACTCCTTAATGTTAGAGACATTAACATTCTCGCAATGGTTGATGAACGTTACGAAATTTGAGATATACCTGTGCTTTGGAAAATTAACTTTTATCTATGTAAAAATAAATAAATACGTGACTTGACGTAATGAGAAAAAAATAATCGTGCAGTGCAAAAAGATCGGCGAAGCATCGTACATGATCGATTGGTATCGTCTGCCAGACAGGAAGGGCCTCGACCTGATACTGATAAATGTCATGTCGAATTCGTCCGTCAAGCTTACCGTCGCGAATTTTATCGAGCTGTCCATTAGTACTTTTGGTAACGTAAGTAAAACATCAATTATTAAATTGACTTACGAATAATATGACTTACATGTCCTTTATTCAAACAGGTGATTAACACATCGTTTGCCTACTTGAATATGTTACGTACAATATCTTAGAAATTCGAAATGTACAAATTATAACTACATTCATTGTAATGTACAAGATAACAACTTCATGAGATATATATATGTAAATTAGTTTTAGCCAACTTTATATGAACATAAAAAGAGAGAAAAGAATGAAATACGAATGTAGATTCAATTAAAAAAGAGTATTAAATTAACACTTATTTAAAAATCTAACACGTCTATATCTAGATTTTATAAATATTTTCTAATTCATTTTATGCAATGAACGTGTATAAATCCTTTTTATTACAATTTTATAATAACTTTTAAAACTTAATATATATTCATCACAATAATAAATTATTTTAAAGTGCCGATAAATTATTTCTCATACATAAAATATATCTATAATGTATTTTATAATAAACATAAATGTAAGCTAAAGCAATTCACTCACCAAGATCGTTTATCTTCATATTTTTATTAATATCTACTTAATTCGAAGCATACTTATATAATTACTTCATTTAATATCAGATATAGAATAGTTTTTAGTAGAGAAATTTAGAGCAGAAATTCAAGTAAAGCATACGATCTGCCGATATCCAGAACAAAATGTATCTTGTAAAGAGAACTATATTTCACGAATGAAAAATTCATCGTGTTTTCACGTAACGTGACTTATAACTGACAGCACTTGTTCAGTCATTTCCTACCTCTGTTGCTCGTACACCGCACATTACGCCGAGCTTCTGTGCAACAAGTTGCAATACCGTAAATATCGATTATGCACCAGCCAGTCGACACAGCAGCGTATTTTCTCTCAGGAATAAAGCCATATGTCCGCGCAGGCGCTGCCGTAACCGCGGCTTCGCCGTCGAGACGTACGGCCAGTGGTAGAGACTAGTATTTGACGCGCCCGCCGCGGATTGAGCACAATGCGTTCCTCCCGCGCGTCCAAGGTGGACGTTTACAGGCGAAATAATGATTACAGCCTTCAGCTGAATCGTTGGATCTTAAAGCCGATAGGCGTTTGGCCGGAATTACCCACGAGCTCGGCGATCGAGAAGCTTCTGTCGAAGATTCTCAGATTAATGTGTCACTCCTTGATAGCTCTCACCGTGATACCCTCCGTCCTGTACATTCTCTTCGAAGAGAAGGACGTCCGTTTAAAGCTGAAGGCCGTCGGGCCCACGAGTCACTGGCTCATGGGTGGCGTGAATTACTGCTCATTGCTGTATCAAAAGGGTCAGATACGTAAATCTGTCGAGCATATGGAGACTGATTGGCTAACGGCGAGGAGAGAGCGCGATCAGAAGCTGATGCTGAGGAACGCGCGAGTGGGACGCGTAATAGCGGGCGTTTGCGCGCTCATCATGCAGGGCGGTATCTTCTCTTACAACGTGGCGAGGGGAACGTCACCGATACTCGTGGTGATCGGCAACGAGACGGTCGCGATAGGCCGCTTGCCGTGTCCGTCGTTCAACTTGATCGTGGATACCAGGTTCACCCCGGTGTACGAAGTCGTGTTCACGCTTCAGTGCCTGTCGTCCCTCGTGGTGAACAACACCACAGTTGGCGCGTGCGGTCTCGCCGCGGTATTCGCGATGCACGCGTGCGGTCAGCTCGGTGTGGTGATGTCGCGACTCGAGGAGCTGGTTGAGGAAAAACGACAGGACGTCATTCAGAGAAAACTGGCGAATCTCGTCGAGCGTCATCTGCGAGCATTGAGGCATGATTACCGTAAAAATTTATCACTGTGCATATAGCTTTTGAACATTTATATGTATATAAAAAACGATCGAATCTGTGTGTAAATAATCACTAACTTATAATTTCATCATATTGAACTGTTATTTTGCTATTATTAATATTATTATATAATATATATATTATATAATACTATATATATATATTATATATATTATATAATACTATATATATATATATATATATTATATAATACTATATATTAATATTTGCTATTATTAATATTATTATAATATTGTATTAAAATAATTTTAAATGCGTATTCTCTTGAAAACGTAATATTTTATTTAAAAAAAAGCAGGATAACAATTATTTTCACTATAAGTTATTCTGATAAAAGCATCAAATTTTATGAGTCATGCAATTATTATCATTAAGTGCGTCAATTTCAGGTTTCTTTCGCGCATGGAGATAATTCTACGTCAAGTGTGCTTTGTGGAATTGACCGGATGTACGTTCAACTTATGTATGCTAGGATATTACACCATTACGGTACGCTTAAAATCTTGAAAAGGTGAATATGTAATAAAAAAGAGATAAAGAGGTATTGCGCTTCCTTATTTCATTTTAGATTTTAAATGATCAATTTTGCATGTTCCATCTTTCAGGAATGGCACGAGGAAAGCACAAACACTTTAATAACGTACTTCATTGTATTCACATCGATGATGTTTAATATCTTCATATTTTGCTACATTGGTGATCTCGTTACGGAGCAGGTAAAATACGGACTTGGCCAATCTTTTTTTCCTTTAACATTTTGTAGACTTTCACTGTCTCATTTAATGTGTAATAGCGGACGACATCTTGATTCAAGAAACTTAATCTTACGACAGTGTAAAAAAGTTGGCGAAGCAGCCTACATGACAAATTGGTATCAGTTGCCGCACAAAACTATGCTCAGTCTGATTTTAATCATCTTACGATCGAGCATAGTTATCAAAATCACGGCGGGAAAAATATTTCACATGTCACTCTCAACTTTCGGTGATGTAAGTATTGTGAAAAAAAAATGAGTATATTATATTACAAGTCGCATGCAAATTAAGGTTCTTTAATCAATTTAGGTAATTAAAACTTCTATGGCATATCTGAATATGCTCAGAACTTTAACCATGTAAATATTGTACAATAGAATGTGAGTTTTAAATATTATGTCACATAATAAATATTTTACATAAAATTATTATAATACTTGGCATTGTATACACATAGAAGTCGTGCATATGATATGCATTTTAATATAGATTTTTAATAGACGTTATTCTTCTCATTTGTCCTTTTTTCGATCTTGGTATAAAAAAAAAATGATTTTTTTTCTTCGTGCGACGAAGAATAAATTAATTTTATAAATGTTACAAATAATAATGCAAGTCGAATAGCTCACGACTCTGTACGATCACTTACGAAACAAATAACGTATTGCACGCACTGCAGCCACAGTTTGCGTGCTATCTATACATGTCTTTACTCGCAACTGTGCGGTGCAACAAGTAGCGGTTATCGATTAGCGTAATACTGTCCCGCCTCTTGCATGCAGGCCGCACTCTGCGAATGAAGACATGCGCAATCGCCACACTTGTCCGCTACCACCGAGAAAAACGGGATAACAAAGACGCCTTCAGTGCCTCGCGCGCGTCTAAAGAACGATCATGACGGCCGCACCCGAGTCTGACGGGCCGACGTCGTCGGCTCCGTGTCGCCGTAACGAGCATCACGATTACAGTCTTCAGCTGAATCGCTGGTTCCTGAAGCCGATCGGCGCCTGGCCGGAGTCGCGCGCCACCACGACCGCCGAGAGGCTCCTGTCGCGTGTCATCCAGACAACGTGCTACGCCCTCATAGCGTTCACAGTCGTGCCCTGCATGCTGTACTTCTATTTCGAGGAGCAGGATGATCTCGATACCAAGATGAACTCGGTGGGGCCGGTGAGCCATTGGATCATGAGCGGGATAAATTACACCTCCCTGCTGTGGCGCGGCGAGGACATACGTCGCTGCATCGAGCACATGGAGAGCGACTGGTGCACGGTGAGCAGACGTGCGGATCGCGCCGCGATGCTGAGACACGCCAAGTTCGGCCGATCCGTGGCCGGGTTCTGCGCCGTTTTCATGCACGGCGGCGTGTTCTCGTACAGCGTGGTGAACAGTCTAACGCCGCCGATCGTTGACGCGACCGGCAATGGCACCGTCTCGGCGCCGAGGCGGCTGCCCTGCCCGTTCTACAGCAAGTTGCTGGACACCAGCCGCGATCCGGCGAACGAGATCGTGCTGCTGATGCAATTCCTCTCGGGTTTCGTGGCCAATTCCATCACGGTCGGCGCGTGCAGCCTCGCTGCGGTGTTCGCGATGCACGTGTGCGGCCAATTCGCCGTGCTCTACATGTGGCTGAATGAGTTGATTGACGAGGGCAAGGACGAGCGTACCGCCGAGCGTAAACTGGCGAACATAGTCGAGCATCATCTACGCGTGCTAAAGTAAGGTATCGCCGATCCCAGTTTACAAGGGATTTGCTATACAATTACAATATATGTCAAATATAAACAGAGTTTGAAGGTTGAGATAATTACAGTATTTCTATATATAGTTTTGTATCACGCTTCGAAAAAATCATGAATCAAATATGCATGGTGGAATTAGTTGGATGCACGTTGAATTTGTGCTTGCTCGGCTACTGTTCCATTAAGGTAATGACAAAAATATAATTAAGTTCAGCAAAATTTTCTTTTCTTTGAAATATAAATGCATACACTTTTGATGCACTTCTTTTTTTTTAAAGAATATTTTTTTCCTTTTGTGGCACTTTATTTTGCAATTTCAGGAATGGAACGCAAGAAACACGAAGACTATAACAACATACGGACTTGTGTTCGTATCTGTGTCTTTTAATATCTTTATATTTTGTTACATCGGTGAGATAATCACGGAGCAGGTAACTCGTGCAAGCGAACCACGAAATTGCTTGTGTTTCGGCTGGCATATAATAAAAATGATATGAAATATTTTATTATATTGATTCACTTCGCACAAGAATATACATATATTCTCGCTATTAGTAAAATTAATTGCAGTGTAAAAAGGTTGGCGAAATGGCTTACTTTACCAACTGGTACCGTCTACCTCATAAAACTGCTCTCGGCATGGTGCTAATAATATCCAGATCCAGTGTTGTGATTAAAATTACTGCCGGAAAATTGGTTCAACTCTCTTTAATAACATTTGGCGATGTAAGTATGTATTTTGGCGATGTCGAACATTTTTATCCAAAAATGAAGCTTCGTTGCTTCCAGTATCCTCCACTGTGCGCATAGTACGTATTATAAATCTTTCGCTTTATAAAAAGTTTTAACGTAACAAAGTTTCAAAAGAAATCTTTTTACAGAAATCAATTTATTTAAATCGTTTATTATTTAAATTGTTTCTTTCTAGGTGATTAAAACTTCTGCAGCATATTTGAATATACTTCGTAAAATAATATAAGATATTACGTGAATGATAGGCATCAATTAAATATACATGCAATAGGAAACTACTCCAAAGCTTTCAGTGTAGTACTATTTTTCTTTTTAATAATAATTCTTACGAAAATCATCGAAATTATCACAGTGTACAAGAATTAAAGTACGTATAAAAAGAACATACGATGTATAAGTATATTGATATACTCACTCGCTATATCTCAAAATTTATAAAATATTTAAAATTGATAAAATTAGTTAAAGGGCAATAAAAGTACGGCGCGATACTTATAGTACGCAATTATAAAAATTAACAAGAATTGATTAAATAAAATAATATATTTGTTACCTGCAATAAATCTTCTATAATCTCCGTACGTTTCGGCCCCGTTTTGAGCGAACGTATCGCGCCGTACTTTCATTGCCCTATGATTAATTTTATCATCTTATAATTTCGAGAGTCCTCTTATAATTATATAATTAAAATATTTAAATTCCTATTTTGTGTGTTTTTTTTAATATGGCTTTCCTTTCAATTGCACACGTCACGAATGCAGAGAAAGCGGCGCAGGGGCAACAACGAGCAATGCAACAAGTTGCACTGACTATCGATCAGCAAGAAATTCCGCCTCGTCTGTCGCCCGTCACGTACGACAAATGATTGACACAGACTACTTCGTTCAATTCGCCGACTCGGCGTGTGCAGACAGTACACATTCGCAGTCCGATGACTCCGCGGTCGATCGATCAGATCACCTTCGCGGAAAGCTATTCTTTTCCTCCCCCTCGCGCAGACGCGACTCAGGAAAGCGCCGCCTCTGATAGTCGATTAGTATCCGTCGTGCCGTCGTGTCGCCGTCATGTGCCGGTCGGTGACCAAGGATCTTCACGATCACAGCGTGCAGCTGAACCGGTGGTTCCTGAAGCCGATAGGCGCGTGGCCGCGAGCCGCCGCGACTACGAGCGGCGAGAAGGCCGTGTCGCGAATTTTGATAATCGTCTGCTACTCCCTGATAGCCTTCACCGTGATACCGTGCGCGCTGAATCTTCTCTTCGAGGAGAAGGACACCGAGCTGAAGCTGAGGGGGATCGGTCCGCTGAGCCACTGGTTCATGGGCGGGATGAACTACTGCTTCCTGCTGCTGCGCAGCGCCGACATACGCCGATGCGTGCAGCACATGGAGACGGACTGGCGGATCATCCAGCAGTCGCGGGATCGCGAGATCATGGCGAGGAACGCGCGGCTGGGCCGCTTCGTGGCGGGTGTCTGCGCGATTTGCATGCACAGCGGCGTGTTTCTGTACAACATCGTGTCCGGTATGACGACGGTCGTGGTGTCGGTCGGCGACAATCGGAGCGTCTCGATGCTCCAACTACCCTGTCCCTTTTACAACAAGTTAATAGACAGCAGATTCAGCCCGGCGAACGAGATCGTTATTGTAATGCAGACCCTGTCGGGTTTCATAGTGAACTCCACCGTCGTCGGCGCTTGCAGCTTAGCCGCGGTTTTCGCTATACACGCGTGCGGCCAGCTCGATATTTTGATGTTACGTCTGGACAAGCTCGTCGAAGGTGATGGCGCGAAGGATAATGAATCGGTCCAGCAGAGGTTGGCCAATATTGTGAATCATCATCTACGTGTTTTAAGGTAGTATTTAAATATTAGGTAATGTAATATAATTTAAAATATGTATATAAAAATATATGTATATGTGTATGTATATTATATAAATATTTTTGTGAAGTTAGCACAGTATTCTGTTAACGTAAAAAAATAATTAGAGTTTCAGTAGCACTTTTTATATCTCTGCAGTTCTTATAAAAATAAAAAAAAGTTCCGGATTTTTTATTTAAAAAATAAAAAAATGTGCTAACTTTGCGAATCTAGCACAATATGTCCCCTTTTAAAGTACAAATAAACAATAAATATCGCTTTTGACAACAGTTTCAGTTAAAACTATTCTAATAATTTTCCGTTCTAGCGACAGTTCTCATTAAATCTAGCAGAGTTCTATGCTTTAACATTTTCAAACAGAGTTTCAGTGGTCGCATATTTTTAGATAATTTTTTAATCTAATCTTTGAAGTCAGCATAATTGCTTTTTCTATATGTGCTATTTATTATTTAAAGTGTAGATAAAATTAATAATTATTGAATTTTTACTTTTAAATTACACATAATGTGGTGGAATAGTTTTAACTTAAGTTGTCAAAAGTGATAATATTTATTGTTTCTTTGTATTTTAGAAGAGAAGATGTTGTGCTAGATTCGTGAAATTACTGAGAATTTTCTTTTTTTAATATAAAAAAAATGCAAAATTTTTTTCTATTTTTATAAGAAACTGTAGAACTATGAAGAAAAGTACTACTGGAACTGTAATTATTCTTTTTATATTAATAGAACGATGTACTTTACAAATTCAGTCTACTATCTAGTCAATTTAATATATATAATACTTCGTAAATGTTTAAATCATAATTTTGTATTTTATTTATAATTTTCTTTTATTTTGGAGATTAGCAGTATTCCTTCTTGAATAAAATTTTTAATTATAAAGTTTACTCAAATTTTATTATATCATATACCTAACACATATTAATTTATAAATATCCAAGAAAAATGTTTTTAAGATATATCAAAGTTTATGCTGATTGTGTTAAGTTTTATTTTAGATTTATATCGCGCATCGAAGCTGTTATGCATCAAATATGTCTGGTAGAATTACTCGGATGTACGTTTAACTTGTGTATGCTTGGATATTACTCCATTACGGTACGCTAATCATCTTAAAAGGTGAATATGTAGTTAAAATTAATTTAAAGATTACAAGATATGCGATACAAGACTTTAGTAATAATATCTGATAAATTCGTATTCTCAAGAAACTTATTTTCCGCGTTACAATTTTTTCAGTGGTGGAACAAAATTGACAAAAAGGGCATACTGGCGTACATTATCGTGTACATATCCATGAGTTTTAATATTTTTATATTTTGCTACATAGGTGAAATTTTGACACAACAGGTAAAGAAGACTGTCGATGATACTAGAGCACGAAATTAACAAGTTAATACATTTATATATTTAACAATGCAATGTTTATTAGTGTAAAAAGGTCGGTGAAACAGCGTATATGATCGACTGGTATCGCTTACCTCGTAAGACGGCCCTTGGTTTGATACTGGTTATATCAAGATCGAGTGCTGTAATCAAAATAACTGCTGGAAAATTGGTTCAACTTTCCGTCGTGACGTTCAGCGACGTGAGTATCAACAGACTTCTCTTTAGAAATTCTTAATAGATCACATTAATTTAATCGTCATTTCAGGTTGTCAAAACGTCTCTCGTTTACCTGAATATCTTACGAACTGTTACAACATAAATCTGCATGTGATCTAGGAAATTCTCAATATTTGTTTATTTGTATAGCAATTTTAAAATAAAGACACTTAGACAAAAAATTTGTATATTAAGAAATATTATATTTAATTCACTTATGAGTAAAGTTAAATTTGTAGTAATCTTATAGATGACAATCATAATAATGTGATCATAAGATCACGATTATATGATTCTTCTGAGATGCAAATTAAATCATAATCCGCGCAACTTGAATTAACTTTCCACATTTCTTCTTCTTGTCGTTGAAACATTCTGAAGCGCGTTTTTCGCGTAAGAAATCAATACGGCACTTCCGCGAGCAACAATTATCGATCAGACGTGCACGCGTCTCTCGCACAAAGTACATCACCCTGTCCCGTTCATCAAACCGCCCTAAAGATTCGCGCAGGCGCTTCGTCGGAACGTAACTCCAGTCGGTGCACCGTTCGCCGCAGTCAGTGCATCGTGCGCCTCCGCGAAGCGATCATGACGTATTCCGACCATGTGACAAGGGAAAACGAGTTTCCCTACGGAAGCAGTAACATTAATTACAGCATTCAACTGACTCGTTGGTTTCTGACGCCGATCGGCGCCTGGCCGCGAATGAGCGCGGCGACGAGGGTGAAAAGGCTCTCCTCGCACATGCACATTTTAACATGCATATCTCTGATAGCGATCATCATGGTGCCGTGTCTGTTGTACGTGTTGCTGGAGGAGAAGGATCGCGAGATCAGGTTGAGCGCCATGGGTCCGCTGAGCCACTGGATAATGGGCATGATCAATTATTGCCTGCTGCTCACGCGCAGCGACGACATTCGCGAGTGCGTGCTGCACATGGAGACGGACTGGCGGCTCGTGCGGAAGATCGAGGATCGCCGGGTGATGATGCGACAGGCCAAGATCGGCCGCTTCGTCGCCGGATTCTGCGCGGTGTTCATGCAAAGCGGCACGTTCCTCTTCGTCGTCGCGAAATCGTTGTCGACCACCATCGTCATCGTCGGTAACGAAACCGTCACGATGCACCCGATGAGTTGCCCGATGTGCACAAAATTCATCGACGTGAGATTCAGCCCCGCGAACGAGATCATAATGCTTGTCGAGTGGCTGTCGTGTTTCGTGGTGAACTCCGTTACGGTGGGCGAGTGCAGCCTCGACGCGGTCTTCGCGATGCACGCGTACGGTCAGCTAAACATACTGTTCTCATGGTTAAACGAACTTATCGTGGACGAGAATAAGGGAAACAAGGGCACCAAGCAAAGGCTGGCTGTTATCGTGGAGCACCACTTGAGGGTGCTAAGGTACTTCGTTTACATATCGAGAATTGTATTTTCATCATACTAAAAACGATATTCACCTAAATCATGTACATTTAACAGTTTCACATAAGCTCGTTCTTTATCTTATAAATATAAAAAGAAATACACATGTTACAATCGTGTATATGCGTTTCAGTTTTATATCACGTATAGAAACTGTTATGCGACATATCTGTCTCGTGGAATTGCTGGGATGTACGATGAATATGTGTTTACTGGCATATTATTTTATTACGGTACGCTAAAAACGTAAAAGGTGAATATGTAATATAATTGGATTTTCTGTAATTTTGTTACTTATAAAATATCAAACTTAATTATTCTTTAATATAGAATATCGAAAAACATAAATTCTCTCAAACATAAATTCCTCACAATTGTCTGATAGAAAACTTTCTTAATCTTAAACTTTCGTTTTACAGAATTTGGACTCGTTTGATATGGCAAAAACAATATCATATGTCATTATATACCTATCTAAGGCCTTCAATATTTTTATATTTTGTTACATCGGTGAGATTCTTACAGAACAGGTAATAGCTGAAATTAAAGATTTGATAACTATTTAAGATGTATTCAAGAAAAATTAATATCTGTATTTAACTTTCGCATCTCTGATCTTGTAATGTTTTTTTAAACATTTCTTACATTTTTGGGCATCGATAAAAAAATTAAGTTTGAATTTATTATAGTGCAAAAATGTCGGCGAAAGAGCGTATATGATTGATTGGTATGAATTACCGCACAAAACTGCCCTCGGACTTATTTTGATAATAGCACGATCGAGTAACGTTATCAAGATGACCGCTGGAAAATTATTTCAGTTGTCTATCGCAACTTTCGGTGATGTAAGTAATATACATATATGTCACATTTATAACGAGAATTGCATTAATAAAAATTTTCTATATATTCTATTTACTTTATAATTCATTAAAACAATATTAATGTTCACCTGTAACAGCTGCATTTTTTCGTTCAAATTTATATATTATTTTGAACTTATTTTCATTAAATAATGAAATTTTTCGGACTTTTAATTTATATCATAAATAGGAAGGGAGACATTGCTGTTTCAGGTAATTAAAACTTCCGTGGTATATTTGAATATGTTGCGAACGATGCGAGCATCCTCTACGTGAATTACATTAAATTAGAGAACGTAAGAAATATATTTTATATAGAACTGATAGTATATGATAGAAACATTAAATATAAATAGAAATATTTAATAAATAGAAATTATATGGAACACGATATTTTTACAATTACGCTATTTAAAAATCCAGTAAATTTGTATATCATCCAAGCCTTCTCAGAAGTAAAAATAAATGATTCATATGAACAAAGATAAAATGTCAAGATAAATATGTGAGACATTAAATATCTAATTAAATAAGACTCCGATGCTTTTTCAATACATCTTACGTACCGCAATTCACATTATTTACGCAGTAGCAAAAGAAAATTGACAGAAGCAATACTGCGCCGTCTGTCATACGAGGTTTCCGCGTATTCTCTCCGGTCAAACAGTCAATCAACGCTACACTTCCGCGAGCAGCAATTATCGATCAGATGTGCATGCGTCTGTCAGGAAGCCATACGCATCACCCTGCCCGTTCGCCAAACCACTCTAAAGATTCGCGCACGCGCCCGTTCGTACGTAAGCTCTAGTCGGTGCAACGTTCGACACGGTCAGTGCATCGTGCGCCACCGCGAAGCGATCATGACGTATTCCGAGCGCGTGCTGACGAGCATCCAATTCACGTACAGAAGTAATAACGATTACAGTCTTCAGCTTACCCGCTGGTTCCTCACGCCGATCGCAGCCTGGCCGCGCGCTACCACGTCGACGACGGTGGAGAGGGTCTCACTGCAGGCGCACGTTCTCGCCTGCTCGTCCCTGATAGCGATCGTCATGGTGCCGTGTATGCTGTACGTGTCGCTGGAGGAGAAGGACGTTCAGATGAAGCTGAGCGCGATGGGTCCGCTGAGCCACTGGATCATGGGTACGATTAACTACTGGCTGCTCCTCACGCGCAGCGACGACATCCGCGAGTGCGTGCAGCACATGGAGACGGACTGGCGGCTGGTGCGCAGGACCGACGATCAGAACGTGATGCTGCGGTACGCGAAGATCGGCCGCTTCGTCGCCGGATTCTGCGCGGTGTTTATGCAGAGCGGCACGTTCCTCTTCACCGTGGCCAAGGCGATGACGACCATGGCCGTCGTCGTCGGCAACGAAACCGTGTTGATGCACCCGATGACCTGTCCGATATACAGCAAGTTCATCGACACGAGATTCAGCCCCGCGAACGAGATCATGCTGGCTGTGGAGTTGCTGTCGTGCTTCATAGTGAACTCGATCACGGTGGGCGCGTGCAGCCTCGCCGCGGTTTTCGCGATGCACGCTTACGGCCAGCTGAGCATGCTGTTCTCGTGGCTGAACGATCTCGTCGAGAACGAGGAAAAGGGAAACCGTTTTGCCGAGAAGAAGCTGGCCACGATTGTGGAGCATCATTTAAGAGTGCTGAGGTACTTTATTTAAATACAGAGATTCGATTGCGTTTGCGCGTTCTCACTCTAAGAATATAATTTAATTACGAATTAAACGTTTGAAAAATAAACGTACTTTAAAAAAAAATACTTTAAATAAAATATTTTTATTGTCGATAATTTATTGTTACTTAAAATCATTGTTAAAATATGTTTAATTTTTGTAAGAGGAATATGTGCAGACATCCAACATAAATTCGAGCAAATAATTTCTTTATGAATGTAACAAAAAATGCGTTGGATCTTCATGTGTGCTTTTCAGTTTTATATCGCGTATGGAGAATATCATGCAAAACATCTGTCTTGTGGAATTGGTGGGATGCACGATGAATATGTGTTTACTTGCATATTATTCTATTACGGTATGCTAAAGACCTGAAAAGGTGAATATATATGTTATCAGCACTTTGTAATTTTTTTATCTATAAAATGTTCTATATAATTTCTGACTTTTCAGAACTGGAGTGACTTTGATGCAGCAAGAATAACATCGTATATTATCGTATACTTATCTATGGCTTTCAATATTTTTATATTTTGTTACATCGGTGAGATTCTCACGGAACAGGTAAATCATCAAAATAATAATAAAGTTTAGTGATTCTGAGCTGTTATACAGAAAAATATTGCAATTTAACTCCTCGTTTAACAAATCGTTGATTCTTAATTTTTTTCACATTTTTTTGAAAATATTAAAAAATGCTTATAGAAAGCTTTAGAATATCTACATTAATTTATTTATTAGTGCAAAAATGTTGGTGAAAAGGCATACATGACTAATTGGTACGAATTACCGCACAAAACTGCTCTTAGTCTCATTTTGATAATAGTGAGATCGAGTAACGTTATCAAAATTACCGCTGGAAAACTATTTCAACTGTCTATCGCAACTTTTGGTGATGTAAGTAAAACATGTATCGTATTTATAGCGACGTTGTACTAATAAAAATTCAATACATTTTTTAAACAAGTCATTATGAAATCTTCCTCCATATTTTTTCTACGTTTAATCATGTGAGCGATATTTACACACAAAAATATTTTAATGCTTCAATTATCAAAATGTGATTAATTATATCGTAAATAGGAAGGAAGACCTTGTTGTTTCAGGTAATTAAGACCTCTGTGGTATATTTGAATATATTAAGAACGATGACTCCTGCAACGTGAGCTACGCTAAGTTAGCGAACGTATGTCATAAATATATTTTCTATAGAACAAATGTGATATAATAGAAAAATAGAAGAGATATATTTAATAAATATTAAAAAATTCAAATAAATATAAAAAAATAAGTACAAATTTATTTACACTGATATAGACTGATACGATATTATTTAATATTATTTAAAGGCATGTGCGCGTGTCGCGTTTTATTCAACAGAAAGTTATTTTTAACATTAATAAAATAAATATTACTTACGACATGGAGGACATTATTTTATTGTCTTTTTGCCTTTTTTGAGATTACGGCTATTTTGCAACAAAAGAGAAAATATTTTCACTTCTAATAAATATTTCTGAAAAAAATAAAATAATAATAAAGTTTACATACATATCGGAATTACACGTAAGAGGATTACGGTCTCTCATATGCTTCGAATAACGATAAATTAATGTTTCCGCGAGTGTGTTTATCACAAGCAATTTCTTTGCGCGACACCAACTCAACAGGTGCAGCGTACTCTGTGAGTATCGATCGACTAGCGAGACGCACAAATATACTATTATTACCTATTACGTTACCAAGATGCTCGCTGGCGCAGGCGCCACTTCCTGTCAACTGTACGCGCATCCAAACAGTCGATTTACAGTCAGTAGCATTCGCGCGTTCCTCGAGCAATCATGAGTAACGGTGATCTCGTCAAGTCGTACGAGGACGCGAGTGACTACAGTATTCAATTGAATCGTTGGCTTCTGAAACTGGTAGGCGCGTGGCCAAATTCAACCACCACGACAGTCAAGGAGAAAGTGACTTCGATAATACTGATAATTATCGGCTACTCCCTGATAGGTTTCACAGTCATACCATGTATCCTAAACATTCTGTTCGAAGAGACCGAAATGGAGAAAAAGTTAAAAGCCGTGGGCCCGTTAAGTCACTGGTGCATGGGCGGCGTGAATTATTTCTCTCTGCTGTTTCGCAGCCGTCAAATACATCGTTGCCTGCAGCACATGCGGGCCGATTGGCGGACGGTGACGGAGATCCAGGACCGGCAGGTGATGCTGCGATACGCCAAAGCCGGCCGCTTCGTCGCCGGGCTGTGTGCGATCTTGATGCACGGCGGCGTGTTCTCCCACAGCCTGATACAGGGCACCGCGCCGGCATACGTGATTATCGACAACGTGAGCGTGTCGGTGCACATATTACCATGTCCGTCGTTCAAAAAGTTCATGGACACCACGCAAAGCCCGACCGGCGAGATCGCGTTGACGGTGCAACTCATCTCGACCTTTGTCGTCAATTCCGTCACGGCCGGCGCCTGTAGTCTCGCGGCGGTGTTCGCGATGCACGCGTGCGGCCAGTTGAACGTACTGACGCGGTGGCTAGACCAGCTGGACGATCAAAAGCAGCAAGACACGGTGCAACGTCAATTGGCGATCATCGTCGAGCACCATCTAAGAGTGTTAAGGTAATATCATAATTTTAAAAAGTTGATATTCCCTTAATATACTAAGAATAATATTTTTTATATTTTGACGACTCTGATTTTCATGCTAACAATTTATCAGATTTATCTTATCCCCCCCCTCTCTCTCTTTCTCTCTCATCTATCACTAATATAATTCTAGTTCCAAAAAAATTATATGTATATGTAGAATTACGATTGTGTAATTTACATCATTTACAGCTTCGTGGCGCAGATGGAAGCACTTTTAAATCAGATATGTTTTGTGGAATTACTAGGATGTACGTTTAACTTATGTATGCTCGGATATTATATTCTTACGGTACGCTAAAAAGTTAAAAAGGTGAATATGTAATTAAGACATACCTCGGCATTGATTTTTCAATTTAAAATAAACTGCAGTACATAAAACACAATGACAAAATGCAGAAAAATAATTAATCGCAGAAAAAGCATTGCATTTATCTCTCTCTCTTTCTCTCTCTCTCATATTTTTTAAAATTGTAATATTCTTAATAGTAATAAAATAATAAATTATGAATTATCGTAACATTATTTAAAATTTTTCAGGGATGGAACGCAATGGAGAAAAGAACGTCAATATGTTATATGATCATATATGTATCCATGGCTTTCAACATTTTTATATTCTGTTACATTGGCGAGACAGTCACAGAGCAGGTAAAAGCCTCGCGAAACTAAAATTTTACAGTGCAATAGTCGCGTGTATTTATGAATTTAAAAATCCAAATATATTTGAATAGTTTACAATTTCTTCATATTATAAAATAAATATAAAATAATTTAATAGTGTAAACAAGTAGGTGAAACGGCCTACAAGACTAACTGGTATCGTTTGCGACATAAAACGGCTCGTGGACTGATTTTAATTATCTCCCGGTCGAGTACCGTGATCAAATTAACTGCAGGGAAATTAGTTCATCTTTCTATTGCAACTTTCGGTGACGTGAGTGCACGAAAATGTATGTTACGTTTTTTTTTACAGCCAAATGCATTTACGAAACATTTCAGGTGATAAGAACCTCCATGATATATCTAAACATGCTCCGGACCATGACAGTTAATGCTTAGAGAAAAATAGTTACACAATTTTGTACAAAGAGCTAGCAAATTTTCTAGTTGCCACCATAACTTCGTATTATAATCGAATAATTGTACAAATTATTAATAAAATACGAAATATCTATTATTTAGAGCACCACCATTTTCTAAATTCAAAAAATAAAATAATAAATAAAAATTAGGTAAAAATAAAGAAAAGAGGAGCAACCTTCAATAATCTTGATATTGACATATGTTATCACGATCATGACTCTAAACAACATTCAAATGATTTTATTCGTCAATCATGATTCGTTAAAAAGTTATTAACAAAACAAGTTTTTATAAATATTGTAGAACGTAGTTTTTTAATACAGTATATATATTTAAAATATTGTTTCGTATGGATAGTAGAAATATGTTGTAAGGATGAAATATAGTCAATGAAATGTAGTCAACATGAATACAAAAAATTTTAATTAATTAATTTTAAATTATTTAATGGATACACACACATCGAATTCTTCATAATTTCGAAACAGGCATCTATTTGTTCATTATAATTGTATATTCTTTTAAACAAAAATTCTGCAAAATAGTGTATGCAGTGATAATTTTGTATACTATAATGAAAAATATTATTTTGATCGCATGTTTCTCCATGATCTTTTTATGTTTTGCGTGCAAACACCACTTTGAGAATCAAGTAAATTTTACGCATGATTCATTGTTAAGTGTATAATTTTCATTGCGTTAAGCATCATATGCACGCCATCTGTCAGTATGAATAATGAAACCGGTTGTGACATATTATCGAATAATTGGCGAAAAAGTTTCAGTGTTTCGATTTCGCGCGAGCAAAATAATAACTTTCTGAGTATTTGCGTTCGATACCGAGAACCCATTGTCCTCTGATTATACGTCCGGTGTTTTATTTCCTCTTGCCTATTTTAACTTCGTTTAATTCAACAATTTTACCCTGTCCGCCAATTTGTTGTCGTCCCTTCGTAATTAAAATAAGAGTTAATTTAAACATAAAAATTGTATTTAATAGCAAACCTAACTGAATAACATAAACAGTACTTTATTTATTTCTCGACAAAAAAAATCAACAACACTATGAACGTTCAGCTCTAATTCGTTTGTTAAAAATCTATGATGTTCGCAACATTAAAAAAAAATCGACAAATTTCAGGAAGATTTACATAAATACGTTCGTTCAAACCAGATTCCGTTGAATGCACTTATTTTAAAATTACTTATCACTCTTTGTCAAATAATCTACAAATAGTAAATCATACATATCAACATTACTAGTGTTGTTTCTTCGTATAACGCCTGTACTGTTCTCGCGTAAAGTGAAATAATCGTAAAATTATAGATCTCGCACCGTAAGCGGGGAGAGGAAGGTAGGGTGAACCTCGCTTCGCGTGGTACGTGCTTTACGCCACCCTCCTGTTTAGGGGGCGAAACAAGGTTTATAATTATACTGTTTATGTTTTCGAGTTCGTGGAATAAGGGCGCGAAAAATGCGTAACAATACGTACTCGGAAATTTTGAGATGAGAAAGAACCGTTCGAACTGTCGAGATTAATTAAGTCAAGTGTACGCTAGCGTATTTCAGAAGTTATTGGATTAGCGACGAGAGCGTCGTAAACTGTGATTTTTCTCAAATGGATGCGAATGTGTTACACAATTAAACTTTTTGGAGTAACGACGGAAGTGTCGTAAACTATTTTTCCGAAGGGGCGGATTATTCCTGCATCATATTAATCGGAGTAATTTTGTATTAAAGCGACAAGTACGTCGAGATTTTTATAATCCAATTCCAGACTAATTTTTTTATTTAAATGTGCTGTATACGTTGCAGACACTAGCGAGGTTTAGCATCAGCATCTTTGAGTAACGGTCGATTCTAGAACAATTAAAAATGAGCATATCTTGACATTTTGATTCTTTTTTTTCGTGAAACGGTCTCCAAATAGATTCTTTTGTAATGCCGTATATTGTTAAGTAGCGTTACAAATATTACAAATATTACATGTGATTCTGTAAACTTTAAGACTAAGTGCAAATTATAATTTATACCCTGGTTTAGGATATCCCGACGAATAAACTTAACGACTTTCTTACAATATTTGAAAACTTTTTGAATGTTGTTTACGACCATGACCTCGATGACATATATCAAAGACAAGATCATTGGACATTGCGCCTCTTTTCTTCATTTTTATCAACTCAATTAATGTTTTTCTATCATAACATGTATATATGTATTCGTTCATTTCCAACGTTATCCGAAAACTTATACCGTTATGTCTAATATTTTTTGGTGGGATGCACGATGAATATGTGTTTACATGCATATTATTCTATTACGGTATGCTAAAAACCTGAAAAGGTGAATATATATGTTATCAGCACTTTGTAATTTTTTCATTTATAAAATGTTAAATGAAATTTTTGACTTTCCAGAATTGGAGTGACTTTGATGCAGCAAAAATAACATCGTATATTATCGTATACTTATCTATGGCTTTCAATATTTTTATATTTTGTTACACCGGTGAGATTCTCACGGAACAGGTAATTCATCAAAATAATAATGAAGTTTAGAGATTCTGAGCTGTTATACAGAAAAATATTGCAATTTAACTCCTTGTTTAACAAATCGTTGATTCTTAATTTTTTTCACATTTTTTTGAAAATATTAAAAAATGCTTATAGAAAGCTTTAGAATATCTACATTAATTTATTTATTAG